CCCCCCCCCCCGGGCCAACCTGGCAGGGTCCTAGCTGCGCAGGTGCTGCTCCAGCTTGCAGGCAGCACCTGCTGGATCCAACTCTTCCCCAAGTCCACACGGGAAGCAACGCCCAGGTGGTTTCCAGCTCACAGGCTCAGGGAAGAGTTGGATCCAGTGTGTGCTGCCTGTAAGCTGGGGCAGTACCTGTGCAGCTAGCATCCTGCCGGGGGAGTGCTGCCACTATGGAGGGAAAGACTGGGGCCCCTTGCAGCTCACAGGATGCACAGCCTGATGGCAGCTTGCGCAGGCAGAATCTGCTAGAAAAAAGAAAGCGGTGAGGTGCCTGATCCTTTTTTTTTTTTTTATTCCACAGAGCCTGCCTACCTCTCCTGTGTCTGGGGGGCAAGATGTTGGTGGGCCCTGAGCTGCGGGGGGTCCTGGACCTTCCCTCCATGGCAACGACAGCCCCTGGGGCTACCCACGTGGATGGTTAGTGAGCCCAGGTGGATGGTTAGTGGGCAGTACCCAGCCTGGTCCAACTGTTCCCTTAGCCCAAGCTGGGACAGCACCTGCCCACTAGCCAACCCCCCCCGCAGGCGGCCCCAGGGAGCACTGCTACTGTGGAAGGAAAGACTGGGGCCCCCTGCAGCTCAGGGCCTGATTGGCCCACTGGCAGCTAATTCCCTGGCTGCAGGAGATGCAGGCAGGCTGTGCAAAAAAAAGGATTGGGGAAGCGGAGGGTGTGCTGTCAAAAGGCTATGTTGTTACAAATGGCTATGTTATAAACTAAACTAAATGCGGATTTGGTTTATTTTACAATGTAGCAAACTCATTTAAATAAAAAAAAAACCCTCCACGTGTACAGTGTGACACAGTTAAACCTCAGAACGGCTAGTTTTTGTCACGTGTACAAGCACCTCTGGAGAATTACCATACTTTTTTTGGCTGTGACATCAATAGAAATGAAACTGAAACTTGAGCAATAATGAGGAAAAGGTTAGAGTCTTTTTTTTTTCTTTTTGTTTTTTGCTTACTATATATAAAATGCAAACTCCTGCTAGATACTCTGAAAGTTTGTACCTCTTCCTGATTGAGGGCTGACAGCTCCTATTTTTGTTCCTCAGTACCTGTGAACAAAAACAGGAAAGTCAGGACTTGATTCTTATAGTATAAAAAGGAGCAAGATTTTCTGCTTTGTTTTTCAGCCTTTCTTATACATCATCTTTTTTAAAAAGCACACACCTACATGTGTCTGTTTTCACATTGCTTAAATGGCTTTTCTTTTCCTTTCTATGTCAGGTAAACCAAGGAGCCAATATGCTGTGAACAGTGCAGGTGATAATAGAGAGGACCAAGAAGGAGACTCTAGGTAAGAGAATTTCTTCTCAGTCATAATTTTTAAAAGCATGAAAATGGGCCAGGTTTTACTTGCTGGTTGAGTAGACAAGTAAGCGTGTGCATGTGTGTGTTGTACAGTATAAACAATCTGCAAAGAAAAGCTTAAAAGTAAGTTCCCCACAGACTGAAATGCAGGATGAACCTACATAACTGAAATGTAGCTGGAATCCGAGTTTTCTGTTCAACAAGGAAAAATACAGTAAAACCCAGATTTTCTCATTTTAAGGAGAAAAACGCTGGAAATGGTAGGTTTCCACTTGCAGGCTGCAGAGTTCTAGCCTGCAAGGGGCTGGGTTGTGCAGGAGGAGGGCAGTCAGGAGGGCAGCCAAGGTCCCCCAGTGAGGGCAAGAAATAATGGGCACAAGCTGATTGAGGATTGCTTCAGGCTAGACATAAGGAAAAACTTCTTTACAAGTCAAGTGCCAGGGTTTGGAACAGGCTCCTGCCAGAGGTGGTACAGTCATCCCCCCTGGTGATCTTCAAAAAGTATTTTGTCGTCCATCTTGTTGGGGTCATCTGATCCCAGCAGTCTTCCCTCCCAAGTGCAGCGGGGCTGGACCCGATGATCTGTAAGGTCCCTTCCAGCCCCTAACAACAACTGCGAAACTATGTGCATGTGTGCATGTATGCATGCACATGGCCTCCAGGCAGCCTAGAGAGTAGCTCCCGCAGGTAAGTCGGTGGGGAGAGGGGGGTTGAGGCCCACATAGGGAGGAAGAGAAAGAGGGAGGGAGAAATGGGGTTGGGCAGGGCTGGGGTGGCAGTCTGTTCCAAAACCTGGGGGCTCGGACAGGAAAGAAGTTCTTCCTTATGTCTAGCCTGAATCGGTCATGGCAGAGTTTGTAACCATTCGATCTTGTCATCCCTTGGGGTGCTCTGGTGAACAGACGTTCCCCCAGATCCTGGTGAGCACCCCTGATAAACTTG